TCCCCCTTGCCGTTCTGATAGGGATCAGCACTCCGGCGAGTGCTCCGCCCGACCCGACCGTTCGTCAGGGTTCGCCCACCCGACCCGATCGCCCGTTAGAGTTACACGTGTGTGTTATTTCGAGCACTCGTCTTGCTTATGTCCCGCCCGCTCGACCAGAGTCGCCCGTTAGGATCTACCCGTCCGACCCGACTAGCCCATTACACTTACGCGTGTGTGTTACTTCGAGCACGCGTCATACTTGAATGTCTGGCCCGCCAGGCTCGCCCGTCCGTTAGGGTCCGCATCCGATCCAACCCGCCCGTCAGGATTATACGTTCGTGTTTCTCGAGCACGCATCATACTTTGATGTCACGCCCGCGTCGGCTCGCCCGACCCGACCCGCCCGTTAGTGTTACGCGTGCCTCTTTCTTAACATGCGTCATGCTTTAATGTCCCGCCCGCCCGACCCGACCTTCCCGATAGGGTTTGCTCGCCCAGACCGATTCGCCCGTTAGCGTTACGCGTGCCCCTCCCATCCGGTCCCCCACGAGTGGACAAGTTTGGATTGGAAGCGGGAGCCCCTGCTAGGAAAGGTCATCACATTTATGTCCCGACGCTTCCCTTCTCCCACTTGCAATGCTGGTAGGGATCAGCATTTCGGCGAGTGTTGATCCCTACCAAAACGGGGTGTTGGGTGAGTGCATAGGCCTCTGTGGGCCTACAACAAGTTGGCAATTCTGGATTGGAAGCGGGCGCCCCTGCTTGGAAAGGTCATCACATTGTTGTTCCGACGCTTCTCTCCTCCCCCTTGCCGTTCTGATAGGGATCAGCATTCCGGCGAGTGCTCCGCCCGACCTGACCGTTCGTCAGGGTTGGCCCGCCCGACCCGATCGCCCGTTAGAGTTACACGTGTGTGTTATTTCGAGCACTCGTCTTGCTTATGTCCCGCCCGCTCGACCAGAGTCGCCCGTTAGGATCCACCCGTCAGACCCGACTAGCCCATTACACTTACGCGTGTGTTTTACTTCGAGCACGCGTCATACTTGAATGTCCGGCCCGCCCGGCTCGCCCGTCCGTCAGGGTCCGCATCTGATCCAACCCGCCCGTCAGGATTATACATTCGTGCATGCATCATACTTTAATGTCCCGCCCGCGTCGGCTCGCCCGACCCGACCCGCCCGTTAGTGTTACGCGTGCCTCTTTCTTAACATGCGTCATGCTTTAATGTCCCGCCCGCCCGACCCGACCTTCCCGATAGGGTTTGCTCGCCCAGACCGATTCGCCCGTTAGCGTTACGCGTGCCCCTCCCATCCGGTCCCCCACGAGTGGACAAGCTTGGACTGGAAGCGGGAGCCCTTGCTTGGAAAGGTAATCACATTTATGTCCCAACGCTTCCCTTCTCCTACTTGCAATGTTGGTAGGGATCAGCACTTCGGCGAGTGCTGATCCCTACCAAAACGGGGTGTTGCGTGAGTGCATAGGCCTCTGTGGGGCGGGTGCCCCTGCTTGGAAAGGTCATCACATTGTTGTTCCGACGCTTCTCTCCTCCCCCTTGCCGCTCTGATAGGGATCAGCACTCTGGCGAGTGCTCCGCCCGACCCGACCGTTCGTCAGGGTTCGCCCGCCCGACCCGATCTAGAGTTACACGCGTGTGTTATTTCGAGCACTCGTCTTGCTTATGTCCCGTCCGCTCGACCAGAGTCGCCCGTTAGGATCTACCCGTCCGACCCGACTAGCCCATTACACTTACGCGTGTGTTTTACTTCGAGCACGCGTCATACTTGAATGTCTGGCCCGCCCGGCTCGCCCGTCTGTTAGGGTCCGCATCCGATCCAACCCGCCCGTCAGGATTATACGTTCGTGTTTCTCGAGCATGCATCATACTTTAATGTCCCGCCCGCGTCGGCTCGCCCGACCAGACCCGCCCGTTAGTGTTACGCGTCCGTCTTTTTAAACATGCGTCATGCTTTAATGTCCCGCCCGCCCGACCCGACCTTCCCGATAGTTTGCTCGCCCGAACCGATCCGCCCGTTAGCCTTACGCGTGCGTATTATTTCGAGCACGCGTCATGTTTCAATGATCCGCCCGCCCGGCCCGACCCGCCCGTGAGGGTCCGCTCGCCGGACCCCCGACCCGACCAGCCCGTCAGGGTTACGCGTGCGTGTTTTGTTGAACATGCATTGCGTCACAATTGAAGCTTCCGCCCGCTCCACCCGACCCGCCCGATTAGGTCCGCCCGCCCGACCCGTTCTGCCCGTTAAGGTTACGCGTGCGTGTTATTTAGAACACGCGTCATACTTTAATGTTCCGACCGCCCGGCTCGCCCGTTAAGGTCCACATCCGATCCGACTCACCCGTTGCCCTTACGTGTGCGTGTTTTCTCAACATGCGCCATACTTTAACGTTCCGCCCGCCCGACCCGACCCGCCCGTTAGGGTCCGCCCGCCCGTTCCGATCCGCCCGTTAAGGTTACGCGTGCGTGTTACGTCGAACACGCGTCATACTTTAATGTTCCGACCGCCCGACCCGCTCGCCCGTGAAGGTTCGCATCCCGTCCGATGCGCCCGTCAAGGTCACGCGTGCGTGTTTTCTGAACATGCGTTAAACTTTAGTGTCCCGCCCGTCCGACCCGACCCGCCCGTTAGTCTCCGCTCGTCCGAACCGGTTCGCCCATTAGCGTTGCGCGTGCTTATTACTTCGAGCACGCGTCATACTTTAATGATCCGCCCGCCGTTCAGGTCCGCATCCGATCCGACTCGCCCGTCAGGGTTACGTATGCGTTTCATTTTTCGAGCATGCGTCATACTTGAATGTTCCGCACGCCCGACCCGACCCGCCCATTAGTCTCCGCCCGCCCGACCCGATCCGCCCGTCAAGGTTACGCGTGCGTGTTTAATTCGAGCTCGCGTCATACTTTAGTGTCCCGCCTGCCCTGCACGCTCGCCCGTTAAGGTCCGCATCCGATCCGACCTGCCCGTCAGGGTTGCGCGTGCGTGTTCTTTTTCGAGCATGCGTCATACTTTACTGTTCCGCACGCCCGGCCCGACTCGCCCGTTAGGGTACGCCTGCCCGATCCGATCCGGCACCCTAGCGGATGTCTCCAGCGGCGGCGCTCGAGTTGCGAGCATGTTTCGAGCGGCAAGCGCTCTCGAGCTATTCAACCTATTCGGGCTTTTTGGACTTTTCGGGCTTTTCGGGCTTTTCTGGCTTTTCTGGCTTTTCGGGCTTTTCGGGCTTTGCCAGGCTTTTCGGGCTTTTCTGGTGACCCGGGCGCCCATTCGGGCTGTTTGGGCTACTCGGGCTACCCTGGCCAGAGCTGCGAGGATGTCTCGAGCGGCGACTTTCGAGTTGCGAGGATGTTTCGGCATTTCTGGCTTTTTCGGGCTTTTCGGGCTTTTCGGGCTTTTCGGGTCAACCCGGGACTTTTTCTGGCTTTTCGGGCTTTTCCGGCTTTTCTTGTGACCTGGGCGCCCATTCCGGTTGTTTGGGCTACTAGGGCTACCCTGGCCAGAGCTGCGAGGGTGTCTCGAGCGGCGACGTTCGAGTTGCAAGGATGTTTCGGCATTTCGGGCTTTTCAGACTTTTCGGGCTTTTCGGGCTTTTCGGGTCACCCCGGGACTTTTCGGGCTTTTCGGGCTTTTCGGGCTTTTCGGGTTTTTCGGGTCAACCCAGTTAGGGACACCCCTGGCCGACGCAGTGCAAGCTGTAACGCTTGGGGCAGCGCGGAGGGCCGAGCCTCCAAGCAGCAGAGACGAGGCAAGACGAGAACGCCAAGGCACACAGGCTGAGGACAGGGAGAGCTGGACGGCATGCCAAGAAGGCGCCGAGACCAGCGGATGTCTGGCAAGCGAGCGATTGGTTGAGGAGGCGCACGGCCAAGTTCGACGAGCACCACAGGGCCACGACCGGCAATAAAAGAACGTCGAGAAGCCCGATTGGCACGAGAATCACGGCCAGAGATTAGAATGCGGGAAGGCGCAGAGACAGCCGAATGCTGGTGGTTGGAAGGCCAGCGATATCTGAGGCAGTGCACAGCGAGCCCTCGTTGTAGTCGAATCACGAGTGCAAGGGTGAGGGGTGCGCAAACTCACACAACACACACACGCACACACAACACACACACACACACTTATTTGTTAGCGAAGGCGTCGTGTCTCAGATGCCATGCAGCAACCGACGCTAGACCCCGAGCTGACCGAGGGAAACGACGACTGAGAAGCCATTCAGCACAATGCACCACGCCCACACACGAATCCTGACCAGGCCCATTTTGGGCCCCGCATCGGTGAATAGATGCCTCCATGGCGAAGTCAGGGGGGCGTATGCATCGATCCAGGGCTCAGGATGGGCCTGACCATGGTCGGTATAGTTGCATAGTTCTCTGCCTTCGATGAGGGAACGGCAGCCCTTTGTGTTCGCGGCTTTCGGCAGCAGCGTGACCGCAGGCCACGACAATTGGCCGAACCAGAGCTGGCCTTTTGCGCTAGAGCCGTGGTCCGCTTGGCCACCCCGGAGCTCCAAGGAGCCCAGGAACAACATCACAGACACAACTGAAAAGGCAAATCAAAAACCGATTTGGGATGTTTTGTTTGCCTCTGGAGGTATTTGTGCGTGTGTTGGTGTATGTGTGTGTGCGTGTGCGTGTGTGTGTGTGTGTCTGTGTGTGTGTGTGTCGTGTGCCTATGTGTGACTGTGAAAGTGTGTGTGTGTGTGTGCGTGTGTGTGTGTGTGTGTGTGTGTGTTCGGATGTGCGCGTGTGTGATGCTATGTGCGTGTGTGTGTGTGTGTGTGTGTGTGTGTGTGCGTGGTGCTTGCTTCATGTCTGGATCCCCCGAGGGCCTCCCTCCGGGGGCCTCCAGAGGCTTCCGGGGTCCCCCGAGGTCCTCCGAGGGCTCCCAGGGAGGCTTCCGGGTTGTCAAGCGCTGACCACGGCGCCAGAGCGGCTCCTGGGACCCACCTTCGAGCGGCTCGGCTTCGGCTTCGAGGCGAGGCAGCGGGCCTCCGGCGGCTGGGGCGAGATGCCCTTCGCGGCCGGCTGTCTCGCCACCAGGGCGGGGCCGGGCGTGGACGCTGTGGCCTGGGAGTGCCCCCCAGGAGACCTCTTCGAGGGGTTCTGCTGTTGCGAATTTGGGGTCCGCACGGGCGGGAGTCGGCCAGTCCTTTCTGGTCACGGTTGGCTGGCCCAGGTCTCGGAGCCATGTGGAGCCGACCCCCCTTCCCATCCCTCCACTGGTCCGGGTTTGGCAGCTTCGCTGTCGGCCTGGGTTCGCGACATGGTTTCTGTTGATTCTGGGTTAGCGCTGACCGTGGTCAGGAGGCCGTCCCCGAACGATAAAGGGTGGGGGGGGTCTGGTTTTCTTTTTTTTTCGGGGGTCCTGGAGGCCCCGATCAAACACAAATTCGCCTGGCGATTTAAACGAAGGGCAACTACATCCGAGCTCCCTGGGGGGACAGGGAACCTTCTCTTCCTTCCTCCTCCTCCTTCTTTTCATCCTGCTCCCACATACCCCTTCGGTTCCTTCACCTCCTCCCTCTTTTCCTCCTCCTCCTCACCCAACCCTGTCACGTTTGAGTTGAGGGTGCCAATTCTCTTCCCTTCTTGTCCTGTGACGGAAGAGACAGACCAGAAGGAGAAGAGGTGAAGGATGGGGAGGAGGAGGAGAAGGAGGAGGAGGAGATTCCAGGAGATGCCGCAATCACAAGAGTGACTCTAATTCCCTCGGGCCGCCCTGTGAACTCGAACGAGAAGTAGCCGAACCAGAAGACTAAGGACAGGAAGAACATGAACCAGAGGAGGACGACCACGGCCGCACATACCTCTGATGAATCCCTTGTCGCACGCAGAGAGTGAATACCGCACAGTACACAAAAGTGACAGCCAGATAAGCAGAGATGAAATCAACTCGATGCGGCCCTGTCCATGATGGAGCCCACCACGGGTCACTGGGCTAACCCGCAACCGAACAAACTCGAAAGCTGCGCGGGTACAAAGCTCGCTTCCCCCACAAACTGCCTCACCAACTGCCAGACTAAGGCATAACCCATACCCATTACCAGATGCGCAACGTCATTCCTCCAAACCTGCCCACGACCCAAATTCCACAAGCCACCCTCTGAGCTCGAAACCGACGTAGCCGAACCAGAGGACGTAGGACAGGCACCAGCAGAAGACCGAGGAATATTGCCCAATCGCAGAAGCCGACCCGTACACGACCATAATGGCAATACCTCGTGAGAACTACCATGCCAGCACGAACAAATAAGATCTGAAATTGAGCAGCCGAAACAACTCCACATTGACATAACCAGTGGCTTAGCAGAAGTGAGTTCGACTCTATAAGGCCCTAGCCGTGGATCACTGGGCCAGCTCACAACGAAGAAGCTCGCCTCACCCACAGACCGCCTCGCCCCAGCAAAGCAAAGGAAGCGCCAACGACGGCAGAAGCCTCAGACCTGCATGCTTGCAATGCAACCCAGAGTATGGATACATAAGCATACAAAACTGTACAAAGAGATGCTACGCCCAGGCCGAGGGGTGAAGGACTTAAGTGGACTCGCAGCCCCCGTGCCTCCAACCCAACCCTCGGCATGGGCGGAACTTCAGGAAGATGAGCGGCAGATGTACGCCCAGGCCGAGGGGTGGAGGGCTTGGATGGGCTCGAAGCCCGCGTGTATCCAACCCAACCCCCGCCCTGGGTCGGAACTTGCAGAAACCTCCCGTGAACACTGACCAGACCCAGAGCAGCCCAAATGGAAGTATTCTCCGGCTTGTTCTGCCCCAGCCACGGCCCTGTAACGTTCAGTAAAGAAGAATTGCATATCTTGCCGACTCGAGGGCCTCGCCCAAACCAACCCATTCCGGAGAAAGGCACCATGTCGCGAAACGGCGTAATGATACTCTCCACCTTGTTTTGCATCTGCCCAAGGCCAAAAAAACTGCATGCGTAGCCGATAAGACGAATTCACCGGGATCTAGCCAACGTCCACCCGATTGAATCCTTTGTCAATCATGAGACGTGCCCCTCAAGCGCCGAGAGGGCGCATCCGGATGTGACGCCAAGGCGAGGGTTGAGCCAAAAGGATCTCCGCGCCTTGGGCCACATGTGCTTGAGGAGGAGGAGGAGGAATATGGGTGAAATGGAAGGTTGATGGGGGGGAGTGGGAGTGGGAGGTGGCGGTAGAGGGGAGAGGCGGGCGATGGACGAGAAGGAGGATGAGCAGCATATCGAGGAGGAGGAGGAGGAGGAGGAGAAGGAGGAGCAGACGGAAGAGGAGGGGGACGGGGGAGGAGGAGGAGGAGGAGGAGGAAGAGGAGGAGGAGGAGGAGGAGGAGGAGGAGGAGGAGGAGGAGGAGGATAAGGAGGAGCAGGAGAAGGAGAACGGCGAGGAGGAGGAGGTGGATAGGGTTTGAGTAAGGGGCATGAGAAGGGGGGAGGTACCACATGTTCCACGATGCGCGCTGCGAGGGCGTCCACTTCCTTCGGGAGACCAGCGCCATGGAGCGCCGCCCGCTGGTGTTCGGCTTCTCGGACACAGGGCTGTTCTTCGAGGGCGATGCGCTCTCCGTCGGCGTCAACGGCAGGGCTGCGGCGCGCGATCGCCTGCTGCAGCACGGCACGGAGTTCGGCACAGGGAAGCGTTGGCGTCCCAACGAGTGGTACGCTACAGAGGCGTTCGTGTCGAGCTCGGAGATAGAGGCGTGGCGGCAATGGGCGTCCTCCGAGGGCTTGAAGTTCGACGCAGACAAGCTGGGAAGGATGCCGACCCACAAGCAGCGTCAGCACCTCGAGACGACAGGCGCCGCACGGCAGTTCATAGACGCAGGCCTCGGGTTCTACACATTGGTCACCAGCGCGGCCACTCCCCACGCCGTGGGGGACGCGTGGTACCAGGTTCGCGAGAAGGTCCTGAGCATCAATTGGCACCCTGGCCCGCTGGGGCACCAGCTGATAGCAGCGCAGCTCGGCCACTTCGTGCTGACCCAGCTGAGGACACTCCTCGGGGTGGCGCCACCGCGCCTCCTGGCGGAGCGCGCGGCCCACAGCGGGCCAAACCCCGTCGTCAACGAGGGCGGGCCCGCGCAGGCAGACCGGGACTCGACCTGCGGCTCGCTGTCCGTGCTGAGCTGCGCCACGGGCCTGGAGCCGCGGCCCCCAGGGTCGGACCTTGCCTTGCTGCGCGCGCCGGAGTCCGAGGACAGCTGGGCCAGCACCCTGTCGCGCCAGGCGAGCGAGGGGAAGGTCAAGTCCATAGACCAGCGGTACGTGCTCTCGGGCAGCCAGGACGACGGGGAGCTCCTCTTCGCTGTCGACGTTCCGCAGGGCACGGAGGAGGCGTACGCCCTGTTCTGCGCTGCGCCGTGCGGTTGGTTCTGCAAGGGTGCCACGGGCTACGTGGCCTCCGTGTCGCAGCGTTGGTGGCTTGAGACCGTGGCGCAAGGTTTGCAGCGGTCGTCCATCGGCAAAGGACCGCACGGCGAGGCTCTCTCGAATGACGACATCCTCAACAAAATCGGGTACCACGGTCAGTACACCCGCGAGAACGTGAGCGACGTCGCTTTCAGCATCGACGGGCAGGAGGTGCCAGAGGACGGTTTCGAGGCACTAACGGGTGCCTGCGTTTTCAAGGATCTATCTTAGCGATGCTCATCTCTCTCTCTCTCTCGTTTTTTGGTGATTGCTTGTTATCTCTCTCTCTCTCTCTCTCTTTCTCTTTATTTACCTTTCTCTCTCTCTCTCTTTCTCTCCCTCTCTGGAGGACGCTCAGATGGATGCCGTTTCCTTTGTCTGCTTGATTGTGGGGGATCAATAGATTCGCCTTGTGGGGTGGTACACAAATATTCCCTTTGTGTGTGTGTGTGGGGGGGGATGCACGTCGTTTCCTTCTGTGGCGAAGGGTGAGGGGGTCCCCAGGATAAACAACAACAAAAAAAGCTCTCTCCCGAATCCACTGGTCCTGGTTTTTCCCACGGGCCAAAACGAAACGGCACCAGTGAATTCGGGAGGGCGTTTTTTTTCCCTGGGGTTCTCTCCCTCCGCCACAGAAAGAATCATAATGCATTTTAATCCCTTATCGAGGATACCCTACTAAGCATTCCTTACGACGGAGATCTTATAAGGACTTCCTAGGAAGGACATGTTAGTAAGGGTTTCTTTTCAAGGAGCCCTTACGCACGCTTCCTTATCAAAGGATTCCTTGATCAGATTCCTTGCTCAGGGAAGTTACGGTTCACGATCAATGATTCCTTCAGATAAATAACCCGCGACGGGATGATATAAGGTGTGCCGACAATAGAGTGACAGCAACACTGCAAGAGACGGCGCACGGCGGGTAGCAATGTCGTGCGAAGTGTGCGTGGCCGATTCGTAGAAAAGTGGTCCAAAGGGTAGGAGTCACTGTATTGGGAAGGGGAAGCAAAAGGAAGACATCGGGGTGGAAGAACAGTCACCTCGGCAGAAGCAACGAGATGACAGCAAGGTCTTTGGGGGATCTGCGTGGGGCCCCCGTGTGCTGGACCCCCCAGCAGCCCCCGACAGTGAGGGCAGTTTCACACTTCGCAGCCCTCCAGGGATGGCGAGGTCCATTTTGGGTCTGCGTGGGGCCCAACCGTGCTGCCCGTCCAGCAGCCCTCGAACGAGGCGACAGTTTTACACTTCGCGGACCCCTAGGGATGGCGAGGTCCCAGTTGGGTCTGCGTGGGGCCCTATTGTGTTGGCTCCCCCAGCAGCCCTCGGAAGTGGCGACAGTTTGACAATTCGCAGCCCCCCAGGGATAGCGAGGCCCCGTTTTGGTCTGCGTGGGACCCCACTGTGCTGGCCCCCCCAGAAGCCTCCGAAAGTGGCCGCAGTTTTTCACTTCGCAGCCCCCCAGGGATGGCGAGATCACGTTTGGGGTTGCGTGGGACTCCACTGCGCTGGTTCCCCCAGCAACCTTCGAAAGTTGCGTCAGTTTCACATTTCGCAGCCCCCCCGTGATGGCGATGTTGCGTTTGGGTCTGCATGGGGCCCCACCCTGCTGGCTCCCCCCGGCAGCTCTCGAAAGCAGGGACAGTTTCACAAATTGCGGCCCCCCAGGGATCGAGGTCCCGTTTGTGTTTCGGTGGGGCCCCATGGTGTTGGTTCCCACGGCAGCCCTCGAACAATGCGACAGTTTGACAATTCGCAGCCCCACAGGGATGGCGAAGTCCCGTTTTGGTTTGCGTGGGACCCCAAGGTGCTGCCCCTCCGGAAGCCATGGAAAGAGGCGACAATTTGACACTTCGCAGCCCCTCAGGGGTGGCGAGGTCCCGTTTGGGGTTGCGTGGGACCCCACTGCGCTGGTTCCCCCAGCAGCTTTCGAAAGTGGCGACAGTTTCACACTTCGAGGCCCCCCACGGATGGGGAGGTCCTTTTTTGATTTGCGTGGGACCCCGATGTACTCGCCCCCCCAGCAGCCCCCGAAAGTGACGACAGTTTCACATTCCGCAGCACCCCAGGGATGGCGAGGTCCCGTTTGGGTCTGCGTGGGGACCCCCTTTGCTGTCCCGTCCAGCAGCCCTCGGACAATTCGACAGTTTGACAATTCGCAGCCCCCCAGGGATGGCGAGGTCCGGTTTGGGTCTGCGTGGTGCCCCATTGTGCTGGCCCCGGCCAGCAGCCTTCGAACGAAAGTGGGAACAGTTTCACACTTCGCGGCCCCCCAGGGATGGCGAGGTCCCGTTTGGGTCTGCGTGGGGCCCCACTGGTGTTGGCCCCCCAGCAAGCAGGCGAGAGGGGGACAGATCCGAAAGGAGAGCGGGGGGAGTTGGCGACCCCACTGCTCTATTCAAAACGAGAACCCAACCAAGGGAGGGAGGGGGGGAAATACCCTGGGACGTAGCCAACCCATCGGCACCAAGGGATGATACACGGCGTGCCGACAATAATGCGGCAGCAACACTGCCAGAGACGGTGCTCGGCGGATACCTATGTCGTGCGAAGTGTGCGTGGCCGACTCGTAGAACAGACGTAGAGGATGACAGCAGGCATTGTATCAAGAAGAAAAAGCAAGAGGAAGACATAGGGGTGGAAGGACAACCACCTCGGCAGAAACAGCGAAATGATAGCGAGTTGTTGTTGGGATCTGCGTGGGGCACAACTGTGCTGACCCCGCTCCAGCAGCCCTCGGAAGTGGGGGCAGTTTCGCAATTCGCAGCTCCCCAGGGATGGCGAGGTACCGTTTGGATTTGCGTGGGGCCCAGCTGTGCTGCCGCGCCCAGCAGCTTTCGAAAATGGCGACAGTTTCACCATTCGCAGCCCCCTAGGGATGGCGAGGTCCCGTTTGGGTCTGCGTGGGGCCCCACTGCGCTGGCCCTCCTAGCAACCCACGAACATGGCAACAGTTACACGTTTTGCAGCCCCCCATGGATGGCGATGTTGCGTTTGGGTCTGCGTGGGGACCCCGCTGTGCTGCCCCCCCCGGCATCCTTCGAACGTGGCAGGGATGGCGAGGTCCCGTTTGGGTCTGCGTGGGGACCTCCTGTGCTGCCCGTCCAGCAGCCCGCTGCCTCGTCCAGCAAGCAGCCCTCGAACGAAGCGACAGTTTGACAATTCGCAGCCCCTAGGGATGGCGAGGTACCGTATGGGTTCGCAAGGGGCACCAGTGTGTTGGCCCCCCAGCAGCCTTCGAAGATGGCGACAGTTTCGCACCTCGCAACCCCAGAGATGGCGAGGTCCCGTTTGGGTCTCCATTGTGTTGGCTTCCCCAGCAGCCCTCGAAAGAGTCGACAATTTCACACTTCGCAGCCCCCCCAAGTATGGCGAGGTTCCGCTTGGGTCTGCGTGGGACCCCGATGTGTTGGTTCGCCCATGGTGCCTTCGAAGATGGCGACAGTTTCACACTTCGCAGCCCTCGAGGGATGGCGAGGCACCGTTTTGGGTCTGCGTGGGGCCCCAGCAGCCCCCGAGAGTGACGACAGTGTCACACTTCGCAGCCCCCCAGGGATGGCGAGGTCCGGTTTGGTGTGCTGGTCCCGCCCAAAAGCATTCGATATTGGCGACAGTTTCATCATTCGCAGCCCCCCAGGGATGGCGAAGTCCCGTTTGGGTTTGCGTGGGACCCCACTGTGCTGCCTCGCCCACCCCAAGCAGCCTTCGAACGTAGCTACAGTTTCACACTTCGCAGCCCCCCAGGGGAGGATGGCGATGTCCCGCTTGCGTTTGCTTGTCACCCCACTCCGTTGCCCCCCCCCGAGCAAGCAGACGAGAGGGGGACAGAGCCGGCTCCCCCAGCAGGGGGGGAGGAGGAATGAGTTGGCGTCCCCACTGTTCGACTCAAAACGAGAGCCCGAGCAAGGGGGCAGGGTTGAGAAAAACACAGTTCCCTCGTAACGAAATCGTCTTCAATGTTCCCTACGAAGCACTCGTTTTAAAAACTCTTGACTGATGCAGAATGCCTTGTGAAGCGTTCCTTCTTAAGGGTTCCTTACGAAGGATTTCCCTTTCAGGATTCCTTATTAAGAGCTCCTTACTACACTCCCTACGGAAGAGTCCGTACTAAGGGGGCGCTGGTGAGGAATACTGACGGAGGATTCCCGGGTCCGAATTCGTCGCTGGGGAACATTTATCAAGGATCCCGCGCTCAGGAACATTTGTTGCACGGATGCCTTACGAAGGGTTCGTATTACGGACCCGTGACTAAGGCATGTTGAACCATTTTTTCCCTAAGGATTAACCAGGAGTCAGTTTTAAGGACCCTTCTGTTAGGGATTATTGGTAAGGGAATCCTTATTATTGAGGACTCCTTAATAAGAGTGTCTTACTTCGGATTCCTTACGAATTGTTCCTAAATCAGGATTTGCAACCAAGGATTTCTGCGCAAAAAGGACTCACTCGTATGGACACCTTACTGAGGGCCCCCGATTCAGAACTCTTTGAAACAAAAAGATTACGTACTGAGGGTCCCTTATTACGGGTGCCGTCGTGAGGGTTCCTAGCTGCAAATTGCTGGTTAAGGGAGCCTTGCAAATAATTGCCTACCCAGGATACCTTTTTTTGTGAGAACCACGTTGCGACGGATTCCTGACTAAGGTGTCCTTGCTAAGGAGGCGCGGCTAAGGAATCAATAGTAAGGGTTCCCTAGTCCGGATTTCCCTAGTAAGGGTTCCCTAGTCCGGAATCAATAGTAAGGTCACTGAGGATCCCTCGGCACGGATCCGTTTATTAAAGATACCTCGTTGAGCATCATTTACTACGGGTACGTTACTAAAGTTACCCAGTACGGATACCTTATTAGGAAGTGTTTCCGATGGGCCCCTTTTTTTATGTAAGATGCCCGAACCGGATTCACTGGTTTAGGACCCACTAATCGGGCTCATTTCGCTAACGATGTTTTAAGCAAGCTTTATTTACTGAGGGTTGTCAGGGTTCATCAAGGATTTCATGGTAAGGGTTCCCTAGCAAGGAACCGTAGTCAGGGTTCCCCACTAAGCAGAATTTTCGGATGGATTCCTTACGCAGGATTCCTTAGTGAGGCTTTCGTTTTGAAAATAATGTGTCCAGGGTACTGAAGAAAGATTCCACACCAATTCAGGAGTCCCTGGGAGGAATCTTTTTCACTAAAGAGTCCCTACTAAAGAGACATCGCGAAGGAGGCGCGTCGAAGGAATCGTAAGCAAGGGTTCCCTAGTCAGGATTCGTGATGAAGGCTTCCGTCGTGAGGATCCGTTAGTAAGGGTTGATTTACTAAGGATACCTCACTAAGCATTCCTTCCGGCGGATACCTTACTCCTCAGTAATGTTTTTTTTTGTTTGTGCAGGATCGCTTATGTGATATGTTATTTTGGATTGATCCCTCCTGTGTGAAAAGCGATTCGTGTGTAATGTTTCCCTACGAAGGGTGACCATGATTCAATATCAAGGGTTCCTCTGTAAAAAAAAGGTTTCCGTGCAAAGGAAGCCTTACTCTGGGTTCCCATACCAAAGACTCCTCAGAAGGATGTTTTTTTGTTTCCGAGGATTCCTTTCTACGGATGTCTTGTTCCATGATCCAGGAGTAAAAACTCCTGAATACGGATTCTGTACGAAGGCTCTTATCACGGATCCGTAACCAAGGCATCTTAAGCACGTGTTCCTTTGTAAGAAAATTGTACTACGAATGCGTCAACAAGTATTATTTAGTAACGGTTCCTTCTTACGGAGTTACTACCAAGGATTCCTTAGTCAGGATTTCCCCCAAAGAGCCCTTACTAAGGGTTCCCGACTAAGGATTCTTCCGTCAAGATTTCTTACTCCGGGCTCTTGAGGAGGAGGAGAAGAAGGATTGATAATTTAAACCGCAGGCTGTCATAAGAAAGCGGGAGAGGAAGGCGCAGCATCTTTAAGAGAAACCTTGAAAACGCAGGCCCCCGCATCTGCCCCGAAGCCGCCAGAGGACACCCTGGTCGAGGTCCACAAGAGACTTTTCGGCGCGCCTGGTGGTCTCTACTGCGCGGGGTGCAAGAGCGCTGCGGATCTCTGCCAGCCGGTCGGGCGGCTGCGTCCAGGCCGCCAGCTGTTGGGACTGCGGGTGCGGCCACGGACCTTCTCGGCGCCAGACATGGGCGTCGAAGTGTTGCAGATGATGCTCCTGGGCCAGCGGGGGCGTGAGCCTGGCGACGGCGAGCCAGCCGCGGCCCCCCGCGGAGAGGAGGCGTCGCCGGAGGCGAGGTCGCCCGGGGTGGCCTCCGCGAAGGCGACGGCGACAGAGGCTGCTGCTCCAGAAGCGACCGCACCGCAGGCGCAGGGGGCCGTCCCGGGGGCGGTTCCGCCAGAGGCGGAGGTGCCCAAGGCAGGCCGGGTGGCCGCTGCGCTCGCTGGGATGGAGGCTTTCTGGCCAGGAGGTCGAGGCCGCGAGATTCTCGGGCTGGCCACTTCGAAGATACCGGCGCCGGACAGGGGCGCCCGTTTGCGGGAAAGGTTGCGGGCACGGCTGAATGGAAAGGAGACGTTCGTGTTTGTCGCTTTCGGCAGCTCGGTGACGGCGGGCCACGACAATTATCCAGCTGCGTCGCCGCGCACATCCTTCACCGCGCTTGGGATTCAGTGTGGCAATGTTGCGGTATTGCACGGTCGTGCAGCTGCATGGTTGATATGGTTGTGCAAGCCCATGTCGTGAGGTCATGAAACCGCTGTGCGAACGTTGGCCTGTAAATGCGTATGGGGCCGAATGGCGGTTTGGAAATTCGGAGAATCTTAGCGGTCAATAGATTGTTGCTTGTTGGGATCTTGAGGGCGTGTCAGGATTCCTGGTGGACTGCCAGGGAAGTCTTTGTGCCAATTGAATGGGTAATTCTGGGAGGTGCTTGAGAGCGCTTGATTTTTTTCTTAGAGCAGCCGTTGACCGAATCAGGAACGGCTTGGTGTGGCCGTCTTGGAGCCGTCTCGGGGCGGCGTTGGGCAATCTTGGCGCTGCTGTGGGATCTTCCACGACGCCTTCTTGACGATAGGGGAGCGGAAGGCTTCCTCATGGAAGCATTGGACTTGCCAACGTTATAGGACAGAAGTATGTGTCTGACGCAAGGGTTGTCAATGCTTGCGCCATAGAATATTACGAAAAGGCTCAGGTGAAGCCTCGCTCGGGCATGCTGCGGCATGCAGTGACATTGTCGGAGCCAGGGCCTTTCAGAGGCCTCCTGGGTCAATGGGAGGATGTCTTGGGCGGCCCGAAGGCTGCCTGAAGCCTTTCTGGGGAATCATTCTGGCCCTTCCAGGGTGGTCAGACAGAGCCAACCATACAGTCGTTCTCATCATTCCGACGATATGACCCCACATCAGAATCTCTTCGATCTAATGGAGAGTTATCTTCATCGTCGTCGTTGTGACCGCCGAGGCCCTCCGCCTGTCTCCTCCTCACCCTTCTCCTGCTCGTCTGTCTCCTACCTCCTCCTCCTCCTCCTCCTCCTCCTCCTCCTCCTCCTCCACATCATCATCATCAGCATCATCATCATCCCCATCCTCATCCTCATCATCATCATCATCATCATCATCATCATCATCATCATCATCATCATCATCATCATCATCATCATCATCATCATCATCACTAGCATCATGAGAATCAGCATCAGCACCATCATCATCATAACCATCATCATCCCATTCCTCCTCCTCCTCCTCGACCTCCTTCCCGCTTCCCCCATCCTCTGCCTCCTCCTCATCATCATCCTCATCATCCTCATCATCATCAGCATCCCCCCCGCACTCCTCACCCCCTCCCCCTCGGCCGGGCGAGACGATTTTACCCGGCGCCGTCGCCGCGTCGACAACAGGAAATGCGTTCGCTTATGGCCAGCTTGCAGAGCCGCTGAGACAACCTCGCGGGCTCCCGCATGAGACGTCTTCGCAATTCACTCACTGACGAGGTTCCCGCTCGAGAATTCATCCAGATTCACTCCTCACGTGCCCAAGAGTGACGACGGCTACAGGAAATGGATGACACCCGCGGGTTAAAAGCATCAGATGCGGAC